TTTCTTGAAAAATGCTGAACTGGTTCCAGGTTGCTCAGCACAGAAGAGACTGTAAGGAATGGATCAATTGTTTTCTATCTTCTTTCTTTCTTTCTTTCTCTTTCTTTCTTTCTCTTTCTTTCTTTCTTTCTTTCTTTCTTTCTTTCTTCTTTCTTTCTTTCTTTCTTCTTCTTTCTTTCTTGTCTTTCTTTTTTCTTTCGTTCCTCTTCTTTTCTTTTTCTTTCTTTCTTTCATCTTGCGCTTCCCAGTTTCAAGTGATTCTCCTGCCTCAGCCTCCCAAGTAACTGGGATTACAGGTGCCTGCCATCATGCCTGGCTAATTTTTGTATTTTTAGTAGACGGGATTTCACCATGTTGGCCAGGCTGTTCTTGAACTCCTGACCTCAGGTGATCTGCCTGCCTTGGGCTACCAAAGTACTGGGATTACAGGTGTGAGCCACCGCTCCCGGCCCATTTCTTTATTATTATTATTATTATTATCTTTTTTTAGAGACGTGGTCTTGCTCTGTCGCCCAGGCTGAAGTTCAGTGGTGCAATTGATAGAAACAGGAGAGAGCCAAATGCCGCCCAGGTCATTGTGTATAGGGGGCTTGCCTAAAGATGCCCACAACCAACTGGGGGCCCCCCTGTGCACTGGGAGAATGGGGTGGAGCCACTGGGAATACTTGCCTTATGAAGTGGGGAGGAGCGCAGTCTCTTCAGCTGCTGTGTTGTGGCCTGGTATTCAATCTGTGAGGTGGAAGCCTGTTGGCAGGAACCTCCCATTTTTATTTTTTTTTTTTGCTGAGAGCTTTCTTTTAATAAATTCCACTCTCCTTGCCTTCCAATGTGTCTGCATGCCTAATTTTTTCTGGTGGTGAGACAAGAACATAGATTTTAGCTGAGCTAAGAAGCAAAAACTCCTGTTTCACAATCATAGCTCATTGCATCCTTGAACTCCTGAGTGCAAGTGATCCCATCTCAACCTCCTGAGTAGCTAAGATTATAGGCATGAGACACCATGCCCTCTAAGAATAAATTCCTTTCAAACATTACAAGCTCCTCATCTTTTCCTTTTGCCACCTGAGGTTTTAGACATACACTGGTCTCAATACACATAATCCTTGGCACTTTCTTTTGAAACCACTGAACACTTGGATGACATTCTTTTGGGTCAGGAGGTTCCTGCTAAGCCCATGTGTAATGAAAAGAGGACATAGTGAAACACCTGCTTTCTGGTTGCAGATAGATCAATATGACTACTTAAATTTGTCAAGGAAATGAACTACAGGGAGGAATATCTGCTTTGTACAAAGATTTTTTAATGATACTCTTTGAAAAAAATGAGTATGTATAAGTGCATTTTAACTGGATTCTCAAAGAGATCTGGGACCCCAAAAGACAAATAACAACTGTTCAGGGCAAGTAAAGAAAACTTGGATTTCAAATGGTAACCTCCTAATTTGATATAAAGTTTCTTGAAAGGAAGGATAACATCTGAGTCTCTTTGTATTTCCTGCACCTTGTACAACAGTATTCAGCATATAGTAATCAGTAGTAGGGGATTATTTGGAAAAAAATTAATTGATGACAAAAGCAAGGCTTACTCGAAAACCATTGCTATCTAGGAATGACATCATTTGACACTGCTCCTTACCTCACCTACAGTGAGCATGCCAACTTACAAGCGTTACCGGAAAGAATTTACCCCCTTCTGAAATAGTAGGAATTATCTATTTCATTTGTACACCTTGAAATTTCCACACTTTTTCCATGCCCAACTACTACCATTAATTTTTATTTTTATGGTACTTACATTTGTAAAGATTTTATATTCGATTCTCAAAAAATCCTGTGGGATGCATAGGTCTTCTAGGAAGTATGACTTCTGTGACAATAAAAATGAGGCCTGATATCCCTCAGATAGGAAGCCTATTTTTCTATTTCCTTAAATTATAAAGAAAAGAGCAGGGGTCCTGTGAAATCCCATATGAATTCAAATTATACATGTAGAACACAATCGAGGTAAGTCTGTAACAACAGGAGACCAGAGTAACTTGTAACAGCAGGTGACTTTTCTAACAAAGGTCACACAGTGTGGGCTAAGCTAGCACCTCATCACTGCAAAAGGAAGCAAAACAAAAGGAAAAAAAAAACCATTTTCTTTTTCTTTTTCTTTTTTTTTAAAGCAGCAACATAATTCGCTGGCTCAGCAAATGTTTTTCCCTATTACAGTTTGGGGAAGAACGAGACTTGGAGGCCTTGTTTACCCTTAGCCCTTCCTCCCGCCCCCGACTGTACCATTAAATCCTAGATACTGGGGTGACTGAAAAGGATAGGGAATAAATAAGTAATTGTCAAAATGTTTTCCCTATATTATGCATGGCAGGACTTGCTACTTTCTTTTAAGTTGGTAACAATCAGCTCAGGGGTTTGCTCTGGTTGCAAGGTCACTGCAAGAATGAACATTGAACTTTGGACTATACCTGAGGGGTGAGGTAAACAACAGGACTATAAATATCAGAGTATGCCGCTGTGGCTTTGTGGAGCTGCCAGAGTAAAGCAAAAAGCAAGGAAGCAGGCTCGTTGGAAGGGGTTGTGTAAGTAGGAACTTCGTGTTTTCTGACCCTTTATTCTTTTAGAGTTTGGTAAATATTTTTTGAGTCTGATAAAATGTTTTTTTCCCATAGAATAGATTTAGAAAACAGGTGGGTAGAGGAAATAAAAATAATAAAAGAGAAAAAGGATAAGAGTCTGAACTTGGGTGTGGTAGGTGAAGTTCCCAGTGGGCACATTTGACAGTTCTTGATTTCTGCCCTGTCTTCTGCACAGCTGAGAGCAGAGGAAGCTGGAAAAATCCAAACGTTTTATTCTATAATCCGTTGTGATGTTATGTAGGCAGTATTATATGTTCAAACTTAAATATTTTCCACTGAAAGGCAGAGTAAGAACAAACAGGGAAAAAACCCAGCCATTTGGATTTGAAGAGCAGACACTGAAATATGCTCATTCTAGTGTCGTAGAAATGTCCAGGGATATTGTGAGCAGTTTCAGAAAAAAAAGTGGTGGTGGAGTAGGGTACAGCAGGTTCAGTCCACAGTGCAAAAGTGGTCACCGTTAAAGAAGCTAAAACCCATGTCACAATTAGGTGGTCTATGATTAAATGCAAAATTTTGTATTTTAAATGGTGAATGAGAGCATTCAGGTGAATTAGGGGCTTTCAGATGCTGGCCTAAAGTTCAGAGGTGGAGGACAGAGAAAGTTTGTGCATTTCCTGCTTTTTAATGAGGAATTTAAAATAAATGTAGGCCTGTATGTGGCCATCAAATCTAAGTTCTGCAATTGAAAAGTGGTGACGTTAGTGAAATTTACAACTACTTTTCAATTCTTACTGGATTAGCTTCCAGAAAATCCAATTGTGTTATTTATCTTCACTATTTTTGTATAGCTGTCTGACAACTATAATTATTAAAGGTTTATTGTGTAAGAAATAATTTTAAGAAAGCAAAATCGAGCAGCCTGTTGATTCTAATGACAGAAGAAATCCATAAGTGTGAACTCTAAGCTACAACTCTCTACCAATTGGTTATTTTTTCATCAAAAACCTAAATGAGGGAAATGAGTGAAATAGTCTTTTCATTTGTATTCACCATTCAGCTACTTGAAATACACGCTCTGGGCTGGGCAAGGTAGCTCACACCTGTAATTCCAGCAGTTTGGGAGGCCGAGGCAGGCGGATCACGAGGTCCGGAGTTTGAGACCAGCCTGGCCCGTCTCTACCAAAAATACAAAAATTAGCCGGGCGTGGTGGCGGGCGCCTGTTATCCCAGCTACTTGGGAGACTGAGGTAGGAGAACTGCTTGAACCAGGGAGGTGAAGGTTGCAGTGAGGTGAGATTGCACTATTGCACTCCAGCCTGGGCGACAGAACAAGACTCTGTCTCAAAAAAAAAAAAAAAAAAAAAGGAAATATGTGCTCTGTGAAAAAGTGAAAAAATCAAATGCTGAATTTTTGTCAAGGTTCTATAACTACTGAATTTGTAGTCTAGGAAACAGAGAAACCCTAGCCATTCTATTAAGAAATAAAACAGCTTGAATTATTTTTATGTTCTCTTTGGCATCTTAGTGCGTAAACAAAAATAGTTGGCGGCTATAGTTATTACAAGGTGATCTGTCTAAAAACTCTCAATATATTGCAGTAGCTAAGATGTCATGCTTTGGATTTGATGGAACTAGTTTTAATCCAGTCTCTCTTGTGACTGACTTACTCTCTGTGTGATCGTAGACAAGCTACCTAAACTCTTAGCCATGGTTTTTTTCAACTGCAAAAGGGGATAATGGTCACATAATTGTTTTAAGGATTCACTGACATGATATATAACAGTGCTTAGAGCCACCTGAATATAGTTGTATAAAAGTTAAATAAACATTAGCTATAATAAGGATAATTGTATTATCATTGTAAATCCCATTCTAGAGGAATTTTCTAGAAATAGTCCAAATATATCTTCTTCTTCTTAAAATATTAAAATATTTTAAATGTTAGAATAAGTAGTTGGGGTGGCCTTAAATAAGTAAGTTAATTTGTCCTCTCTCTCTATCTCCCTCTCACCTCACTCTCTTTGTCTAGTTTTTTTCTCTTCCTTTAGTCAAGTTCTTATCAAGATATCATATACAGGTAGGAGTTTTGATGTCTTAAATAATGTGAAAGACAATCAGGGTTAAAAATTCTTCCAGTGCATTAAAGCCCAGATCAATCTGATTTTAGCTTTTCTATTCTCCTCTTAATTCTGGGCTCACTCTAAGTAATTTACCATTAGCTCCCCACCTCCAAAGAAATGCATCTGCTTTTAAAAATCTCAAATCAGTGCTTGAAAATGTATTGCCTGATGTTATGTAGGCAGTATTATATGTTCAAACTTAAATATTTTCCACTGAAAGGCAGAGTAAGAACAAACAGGGAAAAAACCCAGCCATTTGGAATGGTTGGAATACTGCTACTAAAAATAAATAAATAAATAAATAAATAAATAAATAAATAAATTGGGCGGGCGTGGGGGCAGACGCCTGTAATCCAGCTACTCAGAGGCTGAGGCAGGAGAATGGTGGTGACCCCGGAAGGCGGAGCTTGTAGTGAGCCGAGATCGCGCTACTGCACTCCAGCCTGAGCAACAGAGCAGTCTCAAAAAAAAAAAACAAAGAAAGAAAAGAAAAGAAAGAAAAAAAGGGATAAATAGAGGAATTCTGCACAGAAATTGAAAAGACGCCAGCAGAACAAAGAGAACCAAGGAAGAAAGGGTGAGGCAGAGAAGACAGACTATACAGACCAGCTGAATTGTGGCTCATGTCGGGGCCTTAGCTCTCAAGTTCCAAACATTCTATATTTATACAAATCTCTTGGGGTATGGGCTCCCTTCTTGTTTCTTATTCCTTGAAGTCTGGCCTTTATTATCTAACCAAGCTAGGAAATATGCGACATCACCGTCCCCTCTACCATATAAGGGACTCACTGGAATCCACACTCGATTGCCTATTTTATTGGGAAGTTTGCCTATGACTAGAAAATTTCCTATGACTAGACAGCCACTTTCTTTTGTAAAAAAGATGCTTCCTCTGCAGCAAACGGAAGTGTAAAAGTTGTTTCTAGAATACCCTGACTAGAAATATCCTGAAAACTAGGCTAAGCTCTCTAAAGACAGAGAGGTTCAAAAACAGGTGAGACTGCTAGACAGGAAATAAAAAAGGGACACACATTCAGCAGAGAGAGGAGCAAAGAAAATCCTCACAAGTAATTCGGCTCATTTTGGATGAAGATTC